GTTTAATTAGATTTTTCTACCCTACTGTTATTATGTTATTAAAATGTATCCACTTTTTCTAGGAATATAAACGAAAATGATATTTGGCATTGATCCTTTTAATATGTTTTAGCAATGTGCGTGTATTTAATATTTTCTTTACGTTATGCAAAAGAGTAAAAACAGTGGCAACTATAAAATAACTTTATGCCGTTATATAAATAAACCCTACTCTATTACTAATATTAAGACACTGCGATGCACTGAAAAACACTGCAAGGTGCGATGTTTACTTTTATGGTTCTAACATCTATAGCGATGACAGAAGGAATGAAGGAAGGGCTGACAAACTACCAGCCCGCTTATATTATAGATGAACTACTATTTGATTACATAACTAAAAAGAAAAGCGCTAGTTGCTGTATTATGTATTGAATACCTTAACAGTATTCAAGAAGCGACCCACGCTTCCAATTTTAGTTCTTTAAAATTAATAGTAGTTCATTTATATATGTTTACAAAAAATAATGTATCTCCACATTTTAGTGATTCGGGTCGCTAGTAAAACGTTTTTATGCATTTTTTCATTACTTTAAATAAAGAAAAGCGTGGGTCTCTTCCAAATATTACAACAGGTATCCAACAAAATAATGCTTCACTGCTTCAGTACGTCCCATCGACAAGCCCCATTGATCGGAAGAAGGGTTGCTGCATTTAACTTCAATATATGATTTGTTTTTAAGTAACTAATGTGTTGTGTTCTTAATTGTGTGTGGTCTCTAGTTGTAATTAATTATACGATCTCTTTCAACGTAGTTTATAAACTGTATTGTTTATTTTATGTGATCTCTTGACTTTAGAAATTAAATTGAATTATTTTAGTTTTTATACATGTGGTGAAAATGGCCGTTTAATTGAAACACAGCACTACAAAAAAAAAAAAAACGGAATTGGTACGACGCTGCCAATTGCAACTGTTCTGAATATCCAAAACGCTACATATCACACACCCCACTCCCCCCCCCCCCACACACACACACAAACTACCAGTTACAAACTAAAACTATGTTTGTTGCATTACAAATCTGTTACAACAAATTGTTCCTGTCAAAGGTAATTCATTATGTAAAATTTTAATCCAAGGTCATCAATCTCCTTCCCCGGTGAACGGAAAAAAGTCACGGGAAAAAAAAAACAGAAAAAAAGTCACAGTTTTTGCTAGGAAAAAAAAATTGCAAAAAAAAGTCACAAAGGAAAATTCGAAAAAAAAATTCAGAGAAATAAATATTTTTATTTTAATTGTTAAGAATTGTAAAATTGTGGGTGTTTATTGATGTGGGTTATTGTTTTTAGCATTTTTATAAACGACAAGTGTACCCGTTCCCGCGTGCTCATAGGATAACCCAGAGTGCCAAATAGCTTCCTCCTAACAATGCTGCAGATTGCGTCATTCGCAAGTAACACAAATGAACAGGATTTTTTCTTTAACACGTAAAAAAAATTATTTGACGTGTTTTAAACATCACTGTGACTGATGCAATATGTTAGCGTTACTATTATTAGATGCTCGATCTCAATTTCTGATTGGATTGTCTAAAAATTGATGCTCATTGCATCATTTGCAAAGTGAAGAAACCGTTTGGATTTTTTTTTACGGGCAAAAATAAACATTCCGTTAATAATCTAACCTTGGTTAGTTTTTCTGATTATTAAAATAAAACGTATTACATGGCCCTCAACGGCCCATGTGAACCTTTGGGGGCCGAAACTGAGATTTTTGTTTGCAGCCAAATCACACCCTACCAGGGCGCCGGCGGACACGCCTGATTCAATTTAGTGAGCGTTTGTAACGCCCCATCCTATCCATTGTCTATCACACTATCCATAGCGCTCACCCGAAAGACCAACGCGCCAAATCGCATCCTGCCGTGGGCCGCCCATGCAAAATTAAATCCCCCACCCAATAAACCTTCTCGTGAGTATTCATCAACTCCCTATAGTTTTATGGCACTCGGATAAACTGTGTCGAACCTCAGTCCTTTTTATATTTTTATATACCGTATATAGAGAAAAATCGCACCATCCCGATTACAGAAACCTCACCTAAATTATTCTTATTAACTTCCAAAGTTTGATGGCGATCGGATGAATGGTGTCAAACCGAAATCGACTTTTATTTTTATAAACAGCATATAGAGTAAAAACAATAATATTGCGCCCTACGAATTTGAATTTTTTTTTCGCAGAAACCTCCCCAGAAATATTCACAACAACTTCCCAAAGTTTCGTGGCGATGTCATGAGATGTGTAGTAATACATAAAGACATAGAGACAGACAGATACACAGACATACATTGCTTTATATATATATATATATATATATATATATATATATATATATATATATATATATATATATATATATATATATATATTATAGATAAAAGCATTGTGGTTTATAACACTAATAAGTAAAAATACTGTAACCAAATTTACACAGAAACCAACCACAACTTTTGTAAGGAATTTAGTTAAATAAGCTCTAGAAATGTTAATTATGACCAAATTTTTTTCTTTTCTTTTTTTTTTCTTTTTTTGCAATTCCTTGGTCGGCTTCTCCTCAGTCGGCCATTGTCCGTATATATTGTGTGTTGTTGACGTTTTGCGTCAATGACAGCCTATGTACCGTGTCGGGTTTCTACTTTGATCCGTTTGTTGTTATGTAATGAGCGTGATAAATGTGGGCAGTGAATGTGGTTGACCCCCCCTCGCTACGCCTCTGCCTACAACTGACCAGTAACAGCGTTGCCACTGTTAAAAGTAACCTCAGTAACAACAAATATGACAGCCCCCTTGAATACTACAATTCAATTGAGTATTCAAATGCGTTGCGCTAAAAGACACTGTAATAATGAAAAACAATTCATAAATAAACCGGGAGTGATCTCCCCTAAACTTTCTCGATTATTCTAATATAACACTACGGGGGATGGCAACTCGGGATATAGACCTCTAGACATGATTTTTAATCCATTTTAATTACTCAAATTTTTAAAAATAGAATATAGTCTCGTAGAAAAAACAAATGCACACCAAGTGAACGCTAAATAAAGATGTGCATAATAGTGCGCAATATTATTAGTACTTTATAAATTTACATGCGTTTTTTTTTGAGAAATCAGAAGTACCGTAAATAAGTACTTCCGGTCAACAGAAATTACTCAAAATTTGACAGAAGGTAGAGAATTAGATCTTTTACTTACATATCAAATTTCATTTATCTATCTGAAATAGTACTCAAGTTATAGGCTTTTGAAAAATTCAAAGTAGAAAAAGTACCACTTCCGGTTATCGGAAATCGCTCAAAAGTTGATACGGATCTACGATTTTGTTAAAATACTTATATATGAAATTTCATCAACCCAGCTGTAACGGTACTCAAGTTATCGTGTTTACACACGGACACACACACGGGGTGTGCGGCTATGTACAATGATAACTAAATAAATTGGCAGATATAATTAACGAGATAATGTATGTGTGTCTACCTGTTATTACCTGTCTGTTTATTGTGTATGGAGATCTATGGAGTTTGCGATCCCGAGCACATTAATGTCGGTGTGATTATTAAAAAAAAGGAACAATCATGTAATGATGGTGTGACTAATATAAAAAAAATCTGTTTTAAGGTAAACCAAAGTGTCACGGCCTTTTTGTACTGTCAACTTCATGGCACAAACTCAAGACAAATACCAACCGCATCACTGTTGTGTTATTGCATATTAAGGCCTGATGGATAACATCAAACAACTCTTGTCCTGGTAATTTACACAATTTTATTGATTCAAAGATACAACAGCTTCATCACCAAACAACGCCATTTTTTCTTCCCGCTTCCTCTCTACTTCCACTTTCTTTTGCGCATGCGCCCACCCACAATATATTTTATATTTATATCGCCTTTTTACACCTCCACTCGAAATATACATTCACCCTACATTTGACTGTTACACAAAGTTTCCGTGGTTACTGATGGACCGGGCTCACACTTGAAAGTCACTTAATAGCTTAAGGCATTGGTCATCTTGTACCACGTTACTTTTTTGGAGCATCGCGCAGTTTCTCGTGGCATCTCGCGTTACTTCATCAGAAACACGACAGTAAGTTCTAGACTAGCAGCGCAGTGCAAGTAGATGTCAAGAATAGGCCTAATAAGAAAAGCTTTCAGAAACGTGAACATACAGGACACTAGCGTTTATTGTACGGCTAAGTAGCTAGAATGTTATGTTGCATTTTTTTTTTACAAATAGTTTGCTGATTACAGCTGAACAACAGGTGTAGCGATGGGGGGGGGGGGGGGGGGGGTTACAAATGTCCTCGTGCGCCGACCCTAGGGGCGCCAGAATAGGTTTGAACAAAAATTAAAAGCTCATTTGAATTATAAACATAAACATTATATGGGGTGGGGCAGGGTAGCGCCAAATTGATAGTTTGTCCCCTGGCGCCGGGAGAAGCCTCTACTCCTCTGTGTCCAGCTATCATTTTTTGGTGATTTAGACACGTCTTATATTCTCTGGTGATTTAGAAGTCTTATATTCTCTGGTGATTTAGAAGTCTTATATTCTCTGGTGATTTAGAAGTCTTATATTCTCTGGTGATTTAGAAGTCTTATATTCTCTGGTGATTTAGAAGTCTTATATTCTCTGGTGATTTAGAAGTCTTATATTCTCTGGTGATTTAGAAGTCTTATATTCTCTGGTGATTTAGAAGTCTTATATTCTCTGGTGATTTAGAAGTCTTATATTCTCTGGTGATTTAGAAGTCTTATATTCTCTGGTGATTTAGAAGTCTTATATTCTCTGGTGATTTAGAAGTCTTATATTCTCTGGTGATTTAGAAGTCTTATATTCTCTGGTGATTTGGAAAAGTCTGGTAGTTTTTAAAGACCGTCTAGAAAATCTGGTATGATGGCCAGGGGCGACAACTTCAATCAACGTGAAGCATATTGACGCAAGTATTGTCTAAAAGTCATCGTCATCTTGTTGGGCAGACGTCACAGCGCCATCTTGTGCAGACGATACAACACTGACCTGCGTCTGGCGTGACCTGGCCTGGCTGTCTGACTTCTGCTCATACCGGGCCGACTTCAGGGAGTTCAAGCGTTGTTTGGAGGAACACAGCTCCAGGTAAGTTTTCCTGAAGTTCTTGTTGAGGCCGACGTAGATGATGAAGTTACAGGAGCTGTTGATGCAGATAAAGATGTTCATGACCTGGTACATGATCACGGCAAGGTTTGAGGGGTGCGTCTCGGAGTACGGACCGTACGAGATGATGGGCACGTTGATGGGGACGGTCATGGTGACACACGTCAACGTGTAGACGGCACACACAGCCAGCAGCATGATGGTCGTGCGGTTACTCGACACTTGCTTGGTCGTCATCTTCTTCCGGTTCATCGAGACGACCTTGACCTTGATGGAGATGACGATGCAGCCAGCGACTGTGAATAAAGGAGGGACAACCACGATAGAGTAAACGCACATGTCTTCAATGACCCGTACCGCGATAGCGTCCCTTGTGTGTAGGGGAGAGAATTCTCTAAACCCGACTGAAATATTCCGAGTTGTGTCCCATTCGTATTTCAGCTCGAACCAAAAGCTGGGGTAGACGAACAAGCTCAGAGAGTAGAGCACGACAATGATGACTGCACACCACGTGCGCTTTGGTGTGATGATGCGGTATGCACTCAGTGGGAAGAAGATGACGATGAGCCTCTCTAGAGTGATCAACATGGGCATGGTCAGAGATACCAGGCTAGAGGCGAAGTCCAGACACATGAAGATGGCGTAGAACACAACCAGGATATGGGAGTCGGACAGAGAGAAGCCTTCAAATCCCCGTATGTCCGAGGTCTCGTACAAGATCTTGGGGATGCTGTTGTAGGCGATGAGGAAGATGATGTCCGCCACGGCCAGACTGACCAGCAGGATGTTGGAGCATTTCTTGAGCCCGTGCCTCAGCAGGATCAGGATACTCAGCGTGTTGCCGACCACACCCAGCACGCCGATCCCGGGGGTGACGGCAAACATCAGGATCTTCATCCACAGCCGGCGGGTGGCGGCGTCCACGATTTCGTCGGACTGCGGGTCGTCGGACGGCGGGTCGTGGGTCAGGTTGGCGTCGTGTAGGGAGAGGTTCCAGACTTGGCTGGTGAAGTCAAGCACCGTGACGCCGGTCGTTGTGTTGTCCATGGTCTAGAACATCCAGTTGCCTAAATATTTAGATAAAGCAAGAACTGAAGCTCTAGCATTATATTCCGAAACTATTACAAAATTAGCATTCTATCTGGGCCAAAATGTCAGTCCATACACGTCGTATATGTTTGTTAGTACATTTTGTCTTACAGAGTTTCTATAGGATGTGATCACTACATTAGATAATCACCACCATTCCTCTACTTACATAGAGTATCTATTTCCCATCACAACTACATTATTGACGAACTACGACAGGGGGAGATACAAGCTGTACAAACTGGCCTACGTTATGTACTAAGTCATGGACCATGTACGAAATAAAGTGTGTATTTTTTCTAACCACTTTACACACGACGTCAATACTTAACGCATATATGTCCGTGTCGGACCAAACTATTATAACCAGTGACTCGACCGGTGTATTCGATGAGTTAAAACTCTATTGCATTATTAATTATTTTAATTACCGTTTGAAAAGACTCTTGCACCTCTGCAATATTTTGCTACATTCGCGTTTTTCTTTTTTTTTTCTTAACAGATGAAGGAAAATAAATTAATGAATATTTTAAAGTTCGGGCATTCTAAACTACTTATTATCTTTAGAAAGAGACATTTTCTTAAAAACCAATGAAAAAAATGTATTTGCAGTGGTTAATATTTAAAAACCTGGACACAGTTACTGCTATTGATTGGTTACTGTAATTATTTTAAAAACACGATTGTAGTGGTGATACAATAGACAGCTCACGCTTGAGATAACGTGAAGCCGATTGACAGATTTAGCAGGTGAGGTCATTTATAATTCAGGATTCTCTTTTCTTTGAAGTTGTACAATTTTAATGATGGTTGAAATTATCGATTGATTCGCTCAACAACTAAACGTTTAATTGGCTCCAGTTAAAGCTTCAGTAGTTCGTTTTCAGTAATCTTCAAATATTTCAAGGAAAGTGTAGTTCGTTTTCAGTAATCTTCAAATATTTCAAGGAACGTGTAGTTTGTTTTCAGTAATCTTCAAATATTTTTTTAAACCAAGTTATATCGCGGATTTTAGGGTAAAAACCGTACACATTATTTCAGGTCTTTTTGTAAGCCTTTTACTGAATCTGGCTCATTCACCAATGACACACGGCCCTTGTGGCTCAATAACTAGTGACACACGGCCCTTGTGGCTCAATAACTAGTGACACACGGCCCTTGTGGCTCAATAATTAGTGACACACGGCTCTTGTGGCTCAATAATTAGTGACACACGGCCCTTGTGGCTCAATAATTAGTGACACACGGCTCTTGTGGCTCAATAATTAGTGACATACGGCTCTTGTTACTCAATAATTAGTGACACATGGCCCTTGTGGCTCAATAATTAGTGACACACGGCCCTTGTGGCTCAATAATTAGTGACAAACGGCCCGTGTGGCTCAAAAATTAGTGACAAACGGCCCGTGTGGCTCAAAAATTAGTGACATACGGCCCTTGTGGCTCAATAATTAGTGACACACGGCCCTTGTGGCTCAAATTTTAGTGACACACGGCCCTTATGGCTCAATAATTAGTGACACACGGCTCTTGTGGCTCAATAATTAGTGACACACGGCCCTTGTGGCTCAAATTTTAGTGACACACGGCCCTTGTGGCTCAAATTTTAGTGACACACGGCCCTTGTGGCTCAATAATTAGTGACACACGGCTCTTATTGGCTCACATTTAGACAAGACACAGCCGACATAACGAGCTGTGTTGAGATTTTGTTCCACTGATATTTACCGTGAATTCTGTGCTAGATACTTTCTCATGGGATTTTATAACACGATTCACGAGTAAATATAAGCCAAGTACCCAGAATTCCGTGCTAGATACTTTCTCATGGGATTTTATAACACGATTCACGAGTAAATATAAGCCAAGTACCCAGAATTCCGTGCTAGATACTTTCTCATGGGATTTTATAACACGATTCACGAGTAAATATAAGCCAAGTACCCAGAATTCTGTGCTAGATACTTTCTCATGGGATTTTATAACACGATTCACGACTAAATATAAGCCAAGTACCCAGAATTCTGTGCTAGATACTTTCTCATGGGATTTTATAACACGATTCACGAGTAAATATAAGCCAAGTACCCAGAATTCTGTGCTAGATACTTTCTCATGGGATTTTATAACACGATTCACGAGTAAATATAAGCCAAGTACCCAGAATTCTGTGCTAGATACTTTCTCATGGGATTTTATAACACGATTCACAAGTAAATATAAGCCAAGTACCCAGAATTCCGTGCTAGATACTTTCTCATGGGATTTTATAACACGATTCACGAGTAAATATAAGCCAAGTACCCAGAATTCTGTGCTAGATACTTTCTCATGGGATTTTATAACACGATTCACGAGTAAATATAAGCCAAGTACCCAGAATTCTGTGCTAGATACTTTCTCATGGGATTTTATAACACGATTCACGAGTAAATATAAGCCAAGTACCCAGAATTCTGTGCTAGATACTTTCTCATGGGATTTTATAACATGACCCATGATAAAATATAAGCCAAGTACCCAGAATTCTGTGCTAGATACTTTCTCATGGGATTTTATAACACGATTCACGAGTAAATATAAGCCAAGTACCCAGAATTCCGTGCTAGATACTTTCTCATGGGATTTTATAACACGATTCACGAGTAAATATAAGCCAAGTACCCAGAATTCTGTGCTAGATACTTTCTCATGGGATTTTATAACACGATTCACAAGTAAATATAAGCCAAGTACCCAGAATTCTGTGCTAGATACTTTCTCATGGGATTTTATAACACGATTCACGAGTAAATATAAGCCAAGTACCCAGAATTCCGTGCTAGATACTTTCTCATGGGATTTTATAACACGATTCACGAGTAAATATAAGCCAAGTACCCAGAATTCTGTGCTAGATACTTTCTCATGGGATTTTATAACACAATTCACAAGTAAATATAAGCCAAGTACCCAGAATTCTGTGCTAGATACTTTCTCATGGGATTTTATAACACGATTCACGAGTAAATATAAGCCAAGTACCCAGAATTCCGTGCTAGATACTTTCTCATGGGATTTTATAACACGATTCACGAGTAAATATAAGCCAAGTACCCAGAATTCTGTGCTAGATACTTTCTCATGGGATTTTATAACACGATTCACGACTAAATATAAGCCAAGTACCCAGAATTCTGTGCTAGATACTTTCTCATGGGATTTTATAACACGATTCACGAGTAAATAAAAGCCAAGTACCCAGAATTCTGTGCTAGATACTTTCTCATGGGATTTTATAACACGATTCACGAGTAAATATAAGCCAAGTACCCAGAATTCTGTGCTAGATACTTTCTCATGGGATTTTATAACACGATTCACAAGTAAATATAAGCCAAGTACCCAGAATTCTGTGCTAGATACTTTCTCATGGGATTTTATAACACGATTCACGAGTAAATATAAGCCAAGTACCCAGAATTCTGTGCTAGATACTTTCTCATGGGATTTTATAACACGATTCACGAGTAAATATAAGCCAAGTACCCAGAATTCTGTGCTAGATACTTTCTCATGGGATTTTATAACACGATTCACGAGTAAATAAAAGCCAAGTACCCAGAATTCTGTGCTAGATACTTTCTCATGGGATTTTATAACACGATTCACGAGTAAATATAAGCCAAGTACCCAGAATTCTGTGCTAGATACTTTCTCATGGGATTTTATAACACGATTCACGAGTAAATATAAGCCAAGTACCCAGAATTCTGTGCTAGATACTTTCTCATGGGATTTTATAACACGATTCACGAGTAAATATAAGCCAAGTACCCAGAATTCTGTGCTAGATACTTTCTCATGGGATTTTATAACACGATTCACGAGTAAATATAAGCCAAGTACCCAGAATTCTGTGCTAGATACTTTCTCATGGGATTTTATAACACGATCCACAAGTAAGCCAAGTATAAACTCTCACTGGAATCTTCTAACGTCGAGAGATGGAAACTTTAATGAACAAATAATTCTAGAACCATTCAAAGATTTTATTTATCTAACCCACTGTTAAAGTCGCGAAATTTCTGAAGACAAAAAGTCGTAAATCGCGAAACTTCTGAAGACAAAATGTCGTAAATCGCGAAACTTCTGAAGACAAAATGTCGTAAATCGCGAAACTTCTGAAGACAAAATGTAAATCGCGAAACCCCAGAGTAACAAAATGTCTCAACGAAAAAGAATATAATAATAAAAATATAATATAAATATATTAAATATAATATAAAAAGAACAGTCTGAGAAAAATACAGAAACTGCTAGAATCTGACTCTCTCTCTGTCCGCAACATATTTTCGTAGGATATCACATCAGAATCCTCAGCGATATATGGAGAACTTGATACGGACTTTTGTTGAAAATAATATGGTAGATGTTTTATGGGAATAATTAAAGTTTTATTTAAAGAAGAAAAATTAAAAAAATAAAGGTAAATTCGAATGTGGAAAAACAGTTTTAATTATGCAACCGGAAAAGTGTTTATAGTTGGGACAAGAACGCCATAATCGATGATTTCACATGTCATATGTTTGAAGTACGGAAAGTACACAAAACCAATGGCGTCATATTCCAATTTTAGAATACGAAGAAATGAACTATTTCAATAAAATTTGATTTAGATCTATAGATTTACTTATCGAGACGTAATTTATGAAATTTATACAATTTCCTCGGCCAAAACTAATACAGATTACTTTAAAAAACAACATAAATACCATTGAAAAGCCGTGTTTTTAACGGAGTCATTTCAGTCTTTTAATCAATGTGTGCATTTATTATGGTGTTGTGTTGACTAATTATGTATATAATTTGTTTTTTTTTTTCTAATAGGTATTAGTTGCCTATGTTATTTTAAATGTGTCGGACTTTTTTTTAGCTATTTAGTTATTTCCTTGCTTTGTCACTAATATCGTTAAACC